GTGATGGATTTTTATGGGGCTCTTTCTTATAATGCACCTCCATAAAGGTTGATGGCTTCTTACCAGAGTGTGATGCATTAAAAAGAATTTCACAGAGTACCAGTAAGATGCACTCCAGCCCCAGCTGCATGGTAGTCTGTCCTAATTTTTGAGGGGCTCTTAATCTGAGGAAAACTCTGCTAGGAGTTTGGACATCAGAAAAATCTGTAAACCGCCTAACAATTGATGTGTGCGGAGAATGGGGAAGAGGCTTCCTGCAATGTGGGTGTGTTTTACTCTAGGAACCCAACAGCTGACAGTTTATGCTTCATCAGATTCAGGGCAGGGTTGGGGGTGGATGTCTAGAAATGGAAGAATTATGATCCCTCGGGCAAGCTCTGTAAAAGGTTCCCAGCAATAGTGATGGCAGGTTTAAGGTTACTGAAAGGAAAAGGTTCTGTCAGCCAGGTCACTGCAACGCAAATGTGGAATGGATTTCCTTTTTAGAAACTCTGCTTTATAAAGAGTTCCACTAAGAGGTCCATTTGGCAGAGCCAAAATCTTCTCTAGAAAGAAATTCAGTGTTCATTCTAACACAGAGGCAACATGGGCAATAACACAAATTATATATAGTATTTTCTAAAAGCAATAAAAAGATATAAAGGAATGTTACATTTTAAAACAAAAGAGCGAAATTTAAAGATGTAAATAACTTTGATAACTTTGTCCTCTAATCCTTACTTGTTATTATCTGCAACTTAAACTAAACTTGATTTTATTTTCAGACCTGTGTAGACTGTTACTTTTTAATTCACCTGACTACTTGTTGACTCTGGAGCCCCTTAAACCCAGGCAAAGCTTCAGGACCTCTTTACCTTGTTTGGTACTAACAGATTTTTTTGACTTCTTATAGGGGACAGTTTTCCCTCTCCTGTGCTCAGGGGAGTGCCATTTGCCACCTGAAGTGGTTTGGTCTAATTAAGGGGCCCCCTTGGATGCTCTTCCGGTCTTCTGGTTGACAAGGAAGGTACTGCTGCTTCCCCTTCCTCCGATGGTACCTCATCACCAGGCAGAAGCACATGTCACAGGAACAATATAAAATTGGTATCATTATCATTTCTAGTGAAAGGAGTCATTTCTTTGCCACTAAAACAAATCAGAAGAAAGAGAAAAGGTTTTCCCTCCAAAAGTAATCTCCAGGCACTAGATAAAGTAATGCTTTTATTTTAAAGCAATGGCATTTTTCCTTAGCCTCTGAAATTGTCTTCAGCTATTCTAAACTTCTTTGACAAGAAAGTTCCCTCGAACAACTTTCTTTCAAAACCTGCATCTCTACTGGATGAAGCATTTTTCAAGATATAATTCAAATAGAAAACATCTGTTTTGAAAGACAACTTTAAGGTAACTTCACCACATTCTCTGAAATAGTTATTAGAGTATCCATTCCCGGCTACAGAATTCCATTTTTTAAAAAGTCTTCTTCCTCCAGTTTCTCCACACTGTACCTTCTTTGGGATCAGCCTATGAAGAACAGGAGACTGAGACAGACAAAAGGAGAAATGTATTGAGGTTATATTGAACACAATCAACAAGAATTACTATTTTTCCAGTGTCGTGCAATAGGTTCATATTTCATTCTAGATTAAATTCAGCTCCTAGCACCCTTTTAGAATATAATTTTAGTGATCCATACATGAGAGAGTTAGGAATCTTTATTTCTCATTTCTTTTTATTTAAAAAAGAGATCATTTTAGAAATAAGCCGGCAATGTAACTGATGCCCTGTTGTTTTTCTTTTCAAAAATGCATAATTCTATGCTGTTTAAAAATTAAGGTATTTTAGTGGAGAAACAAGCAGGAGTTAATTAGAAGAATCTTCATCTTAAATCTCCCCTCCTTGAAATTTCATATGCTGTTCATTCAGTCATTTCTGCCTTTATCCTTACAATCAGTTACTTAACATATTTATTGAATACCTATGTGCAAGGCAGTGTTTTCAGTGATTGGATAAAAATCAGTAACAAAAGACAGGATCTCTTTCTTCCTGGATCTTAAAGTCTAGTCAGGAAAATAGACATTCAATAAATTAATTTTAAAATAGCTATAATAGAACTGTACAATACAAAGAATGAACCCTCATGTAAACTCTGGACTTCAGTTAGTAATAATGTATCAGATACGGTTTTTCAGTTGTAACAAATGCCCCACAGGAATGCAAGATGTTAGTAATGAAAGAAAGTGTGTTATGTTGGTATATGGGAACTGTGGGCCTTCTGTGTAAATATTTCTAACTATTCTAAAAAATAAAATCCCTTAATTAAACAATAAAAATATATAAATAGCTATAAAAGATAAGCACTTTATAGGAAATAAATGACATACTAATAGAAAGAATATTGGGGTGACCTAACTTGGATTAGAGAATGAGGAAAGACCTTTATGGAGGGAAAAGTGTTGTTTAAGACCAGAATTAGAAAATAAGTCTTCCTTATTTTCTGATAAGTCTATTTATTATATAGTCTACTTATTGGAAAATAAGTAGAGGCCTGCCAGGCAAAGAAGAGGAGGAAACACCAGTAGAGCAAAGTGATACCATCTGAACTACCTTTGTAAATATCATTTGTGTTTCTCTGTGGAGGAGGTATTGTGCAGGTGGGATGGGGAAGCAAGAATACAAAGCAAGCAAAAAAGAAAAATTAGGAAGCAATTAGAATGAGCCACAATTTTCCCTACTCACTCAAAGTATTAGAAAAGCAGAGTGACAGTAGGATGTTTTCCTTGGCTCAGCTTCTGCCAGAAATCATTAGGTTCTCCTTGGGCTGGGTGCTAGGAAGAAAGGAAACTATCAGTGGCAGCAAGATGGGGTTCCTAAGCCTCAGTTCTTAAAGTCTTTCCAGTGGCTTGTTGGGATTCATAGAATGAGGAATGATTGTGTGTGTGATTGGGAATACAACCAGATGAGCACTGTAAGGGGGAAAAAGGAAAAAGCCTTCAGGTACTAACTACCTGGCTATAACAACAGATTTTCACATAAGTCTGTGTACGGTTTAATTTGCAATAATTACCTTTATTTCTGCTACTGAATTGTTGGAATTTATATTTTGGTTTTGTTTCTTAAAAGACTACACATTTTAAAATTGTTGGTAAATCAACCGAGGACACTTAAGAAAGGCCCATTTAGGCAGGGCACTGGTTCAGTATATCAATATTCAACTGTTCCTATCAGAGTTCTTAGGGATGGTGAATTCCCAAGGAAAACAACTCTAATGGGTACATGTCAGCCTGTGATAGATGTCTATTGATTCTGGAACTGTTATTAGTAGCATGGAAGCTGAAATAGTCAAAAGTTTTATTTCCATGTAAAATTAAGTAGCTCTGCAATTACATAATCCACTTCATTTTTAAGTTGTACCTACCTATGTATAAGCACACTTGATATTTGCAAGGCATTAACTATTTTTATGCATTTTTACAGTAGAAAATTTGAATTTGATGGTTATACATTATATATAAGAACACTTGATAACACTGAAAAATCTTTAGCAAATGAGCATGGATTCATAGGACTTAACTAATGGGTAAAAATGGTTAGTATGTCTGCATAACTCTATAGTTTTTGGTTTTTGCATTCCCGGAAACACAAACACAAAGTCAATAATCCCCCATTTGAGCAGACCTGTTGTTTATTTTAGGAACGGAAGTGCATCATCAATGTAATTTTATGTAGTTCAGTTGTGAATATGGGATGAAGCGGTAAAATAAAGTTTTCCTCTGTAACGTCTCCATTACGAAGCTCCTCTTTGTGTAAAATAGTTCATGGCAAATTTGCTTCTATTTAAAGTAGTGAGTTTGATCTTGACTTTGATCTAAAGCTTTTGATCTCGAAAAGAAGAGTGGAGTAGCAATAAAGAGAGGGCAAGGCAGATTTTTCTTTAAAGAAATACAGATAAAGTTAAACGGGTGGTCAAGATCAGCAAACACGCGTGCGACTGGACCCTTCTCCCCCAAGCGCTCGCACAGTCTGGTTCAGCGAATTTCTGACGCAGCTGTGAAGAAAGCCTTTGGGAGTTGGAGGAAAAACCTCGGGGCACCACATACTTTAATAAACTAAATGCAAACTTCCCTCCTAATTATGAAACTAGTCCACCTTTTACATTCTCCCCAGTAGCTTAGCGGTTTCACGCGCAGGGCGAGTGCGGTGCCGGCTTTGCTTAGTTAGGGCGAACTGGCTCCCGAAGAGCGCAGGGAGTGCGCCGGGCTCGCCTTTTACGTACTCTGCTTCCAACCCCGGGAGGTCACCTGCCACTGCCTTGGAGTAAGACGGGGCCACTGAAAAACGCCTTGGTAATGGCGTATAATCCATTCCCGGAGAAAACTCCATTAGGAAAGTTCCTTTCTCTCCGCAAAGGCCTTCTGGACACTTAGGTTTCTGAATAGAGGAGCGAGTTCAGACTGGCCGCGGGAGTGAGGACGCTTCTCCTGCTCACGGGTGGGCAACAGTTCTGCTCCCAAGGCGAACACAAACCCTTTCGCGGGTAATCAGTGCCCGCAAGAGTGAGGGCTGGAAAGGTAAAACGTGCGCGCCTGGGGCAGTCTGCACGCGGAAGGGTGTAGGAGCGCCGGCGCTGGCCAGACCCGCGAGACGAGGAAAGATGTTTCCAGAGAACAATAAAATCGCAGGCACGCCGACGGGGGCGGGGGCAACCTGCGGGGATCGCGTCTCTGCGCCTATACCTTTAAGGCAGGCCCCGCCCCGCCCAGTGCCCGCCTGCAGCCCGCGCTGCTGCTCCGGCCCCGCGCTGCCCGCCGCCCGGTCTTTGCCTTAGGTGTTGCGGGCCTTGAGTGCCCGTTTATCTCCGGGCAGGCCAAGCGACGATCCCTAGGCGGGAGCTACTGCGCCCCGGCTCGCACTCTCACCTAGGGCGGGCGAGGGCTAGGGTTTAAGCGCGGAGGTGGTGGGGCACGAGGGAGGGAGGCTGAGGCTACTCCTGGGGTAAACTTGATTGTCCCCTTCCCCCGCAGCCGCTGCAGACGGAGCTCCAGGCCGGGGCGGAGTGCAGGCTTGTGCGGCAAGTGGACGCAGAGGTGAGTGCGGGCGGCACGGTCCGTGCGGTCTTCTTCCTCCAGGGGCGGTGCGTCTCGCGCCGCTTTCCCCCCGCGGAGGCCCCGGTGGGTAAGCTGGCCTTGTTTCAGCAGCCCCCACCCCCACCCCCGCCCCAGCACAAGGGCAGCGACGCGGGCCCAAGACGGAGGGATCGGCTAGTGGAAGGTCACGGCCTCGGCGCGCCACAGATGAGCGCGCCCCTAGGCTCCCTACGTTCCTTATATCGAGGCTTCCTCCTGGCTAGCTCCGATGGGATCCTGTGGTTTTCCCCAGGTGAATCCATGAAGGTTGCGTCGCGAGGCCAATCGAGCGTTTCTCACGCCAAGGGGCGGCCCTCAGGACCTATGGTCCTGTTAAAATGCTCTGTGGTTTTTGAACTTTAGGTGGCGAAATGGAATCAACTGAACCGGAGACCCCGAAAACGGAAAAGAAGGGGGACCGAAGAAGTGTTTGAAAAGGTAGGCGTCCCCGAAAGAGCATTGGGTGGAATTCTTGGCAAGTCTCACCGCGTGCCCCAGAGGACTTGGTCACAGTAGAGTAGCACTTTTTTAAAGTTTAAATTAAATTTACAGTGGACAATGAATTTGTGCGGATAGTTCTGTAGAAATACTGCCTGGTAATCCTAAAGATTATCAACATATGTTGTCGTGAAGTGAGATTTGTTTCGGAACTATTAAGTAGAGCAACAGGACATGCCCGTTGATGGATTCCATTATCATTTTAGTCCAGTAGTATTTTTTTATGGCATTGTTAAGTTACCCCTAAAAAGGGGGGAGGCTTCTGAATAAATTACCCACAGTATTGAGCTTCTCTGGTTGTGATACGGTAACACACTCCCTCATTTAGGCTTTTTTAGAGTATTCTCAAAAATGGAGAGAGAGGCGTAAAAAAGTGGATTACTTTTGTAAAGCAAATGAGAAATTTGGTTTTCCGAATTTAGAATTTCAGTGTTACTTGGCAGAAGTTTGGCCTACATATTTTCTGCTGAAATTGTATTAAGTTAAAACTTGATTTGTTGTTGTGGTAAATATTGTGAAATAAGGTAAGTATGTTGTTTTCTAAGTAATTTTTATTGAAAATTCTACAAAGTGAATAATGTTACAGCAGATACGATTTTTGTTGCTTTTTAAAATTATTTTAAGTGCTGTTTTTTGATTTTTGATAGCACCAAGGGATTAAAATAGCAGTGTGTTGTTTTTCTTCTGCTAGAATGTTTGATGAATCATTCCTGATTCTGAAGCCAAATTCTTGCTGATAGTATTGCTGCCAACTTCTGTGATGTGTTGCCTTAGTATGGGCATTGCAGCGTCCGAGAATGTGCACAAAGCACATCATAATGAAGGTGATATCAAAGTCTCAGAGTGCATTTAAGGATACAAGGATTACTCCAAGAGAATTGAATAAGAAAGGAGCCTAGGATTATAATCATCTGTAGCTAGAGATTCAGTATATTACTTCATTTAAGCAGTAATAGAAAAAGTTGTCATTTTGAACAGACTTAAATTTTCTGACCATGTGGTGGTTAGTTGGTGTTTTTAAAAATGTTTGTGGATGGAGGAACAAGATCATGAAATGTACAAAGGAGGAAAAAGAATGATGGCATGCTTAGTATCTAAACATATTTTCCAGCTATTGTTTAAGCCAAATATAGGATTACCCCAGCACACAATGTGTTATGCATAAAAGAAGGGGAAGCCACTACCTTTGTGGATTACTAGGTATCATCACTACCAAAATCTGAACTTGAAGTTACCATATGTGACACCCATGATCTGACCACTGCCTTCTGAGAAGAAGAAAGAGGGTGGGGGGAAACTGAGGAATATTTCTACCAAGAAAAGTAGGAGTTCTTCCCTGACTTCAGCCTTGAAAGAGGATATTGTGTTAGGATTTATGGGGAGAAGGCATGCATGTTTTCCTTTTCTTCTTAGGAAACGTGGGTAGTAAGTAGTCTTACAGAGATTACACGAATGAAGTAGTTTGGGACCAACCTGCTGAAATGCCTTTCAAGGAACGAAGCTTAAAGCTGACTAGCTTTAAAGGTGGATAGGAATTTTTGAAGTTGTCAGAAAATAATTATAGGTATCTCCAGTCTTTCCCCCTGACTCTGTACAGCAGCTGAACCTCTTGCCCTCTGTCTGCCTCAACCATGCCCAGGAGAGGGTTTGAAGCTTGCTGAGGCAAAGCATGCAGTATTTTCAAGGACAAGGTGAAAGGGAATGCAATCAGCAACCAAGGCACAGAGGCTACCCTGCCGAGGTGTGTCCACTGATTGCCCCAGTGTCTACTCCAAAATACAGATGGAATTCTGTGTATAATGAATATTCAAACTGAGATCATGCATTAACATTTTGCCAGAATTTGAGCCTGTTTAGGAATCTAGGTAGTTAACTTATTGTGGAGTTCAGTCAGTTTTTTTAAACGTCTGCCATGCCACAAGTGAAGTAGGTTAATCGATTTCTCCTTTTTCACGTATCCACTATATTTTTCTACCACCTGAAAATGATGATCTTTTCTGTAGTATTCATTATATATTACTGTAACATGAGAGCCTGGGTTTGAGTCCTTTCTGGTATATGTACATTTTAAATCTAGCTGTTTTCTTCATTTGCCTGCTTTGTTTCTTTGCCCTGTTTGTCCCCAATGCCACCCTTAGTCTCCATGTCATAGTCTCTGTCTGCATCTTCAGGTCTCACACAAGATTCAGCGTATCTGAATGAACTTGGTTAACTATTCTGTATTCAACTCGGCTAGAGTCGTAACATTTTCCCTTTTGATATTTACTGGCTTGTGGAAAGCATTCTTCTGACCTGCTTGAGGAAGGAAAACAGGAATGGTGCAAGCCAAGGGTCTGGAACTGGCACTGGGCAAGGAATTACACGTAAAAAATGTAATCGTACAGGTGATACTGGTATTCTCCATTAAAGGTGCTAAGCACAGCCTGCTGTAACTTGAAATACTGTACTAGTTGAGTTTTTCAGAGAGCTCAGAAGGGGAAGCAAAACAAACTGCTCTGTGCTCAGCTATGGGTTAAAATAACGAATAATGAAATAAAGTAAACTGGTACCGCCCAGAGAAGTGGTTTAACATGCTGTGACCCTTCCCGGTCTGTTCTGTTGTATTGTGTCATTCCCATCCCCCCACCCCCCATAGCTCCCCTGTCTCTTTGCTGCCTCACAGACTTTCGTATCTTATCTTTCTGAAGATACATCATTCTCTTAACTCATTTTCTATCGCCTGTGACATTTATTTCCATTTTATTTCATCTTCATACTGTAGTGCTTATTCCTTCAGTCATATTCCACTGGAATAACTGAATTCCTTTATACTCTTTTGTTTTCATTTTAAATTGACAAAACTCACCTGTTTTGCTTCTGGTGCTTATGTGCTTTATGCTTACATTCTGATATTCTTCCTTTTTAGTTCATTTTATTGAGTTTGAACAATTTGTGCAACAGAAAGGCAAGGGGAACATGAGCAACTACTACACAAAGAACAATTAGGACAAATGGATCAGCCTGTTCTACAGGGCTGGGTAAACAATGGGGTTTACAACAGTGAGTTGTATAATGTGTAGTTTTAAAAATAATGTTAATAGATTTTACTAAATGGCTATTGGCTTTGGAAGGACCCACGTCTTTTTTTTTTATCTTTAACTGAGTCAAAGGGAATACAAATTGCACATCACGTTCAGAGATTAAAAAAAATACGACATTTTAAAATAAGTATAGGCATGTAAAATAAGGTTTTAAATAATTCTTTGGTATTCTACAGTTCAGGAATAACTGTAGAGTAATATTTTATGAAATCATATATTTGAGAAAAATAAATGAATGCCATGTAATCCCTTTAAAGGAAGAAGATTCCACTTTCCATATTCAAAAGAAGCACCCTTTCTACTTTATGCATTATCTAGTAATATGTGGAGAACAAATTTTAAAATACTCATTTCTGGTTATCACTAAGAATTTATGATGATGTCAGAAATATTCATTGATATACTGTTAAAACATTGAAAATTCAACAATAATTAAGGCTGTCCATTATCATTAATAAGCGTTCCTTTCTGTGTGCTGGTTTCCAAGTGTGCGGTCTCGGCGAGGGTGCGGTTGCCTGGCCTGTGTTACGATTAGTCATAAAGAACACAAGGTGCACGTGGTTTCCAGCAAAAGCGCCCTTTAAGCTTCATATTCTTTTCTGTCAGAATCTGAAAAAACAGTGGTCTTGGAGCATAAAATTGCTTAGAATTTGGTGACATTTTCCTTGATATAGCAAGTGAAACATGAAAACATGTAGAAAGATGGTTTTGAAAAGTGGACTTTATGGTATTTGGTGGCTATTTCAGTTGGAGTCCAATGATAAATTCTGTTTTCTCAGTCTTTGAGAATAAAAACTCTGGAACTATTTTCTTTTTGATAATATTCTTCCTAAACTGTACAGCATTGTCACTCAACTTTTATTTTTCATTTGTTCTTTTCATACATTTGATTCAGAACTGCAGTCAATGATCATCTTAGTATGAATAATAATTCAGAGGAGATTTTAAAAATCGTGTTTGAAACCCAACTTGGTTTATGTGTTTTACCACATTTACTGCTTTTTCAAAAATTTTATACCTTCTAAGAGAATGTTTTTATTATAATTCTAATAGTAAAATATTAGATAAAAGTAGGTACAGGTTTTAAACTACTTAAAAAAGTCCTTTACTGCTATTTGCTTTTTGTGTCAAAGGTATGTTTTATGTTTGGTTTATGATTTCTGGAAAAGAATATTTAACACTAGTAAAAATTATCTTTTTCTTGAACCCATAATAGCACACGGCAACTGTGTGCTTGACTCCTGAGCGATCAAACTACAAAGCTTGGCAGAATGGCACCAGATGAATTCCGGGAGTGCTGGGGCCCCTTCACTGTATGGGAATTACTTGGCAGTTAACAAAATGGGAACAAAATGGGTGGCATGGGCAGCCACAGTCTTGAGCTCAGGTAGCATTTATGTGGAGTGATTTCCCAGGCATGGGTACCCTTGCCTCTTTTGGAAAGTGCTCCTGCCCTTCGTGACTATCCTGCATTTATAGAGCTGTAATCTCTTATAATAGCTTCATTGATACTTGATCTCCATAGAAAAGCGTTATGGATTCTACCGAGCCACAGCTCTTGAGGCACCAGCCACCCTACCCTGGAGCCCGCCCTGTCTGTGAGTGGCTTTGTGTCCTGGGTTGTGCTTATTGTGCCTTTGGATGACAATTTACTTGAGTGATGGGGGGGAGGCCGAGTAATTTATTAAAAGTAATTACAAAGAAACCAAACAAAAGGAGTAATTATAGCAGTTATTATGCAATTTATTTTATTGAAATATTTGGAACTTAGTTTTATAAGTGGGTCTCTGTTTTTTCCTTGTGAATCCCTAACAAATACATAATTTATTAAACTGTGTAACCCAAGTCTCAAGTTAGATC